TTTTGGTTTTTCTCTGGTACCGGGAACCAAACTCACGACCTTGCGCTTGCCAGGCAGGCGCTTTTGCCACTGAGCTAAATCCCCAGCCCTGAATAGTTAATTCTTAAACATAAGCTTCCACAAGCACTCACAATATTCATCATTTTGCTTACCATTGCCCACTTCCTTATTTTAACATGTCTTTATAGAATACCAAATAACAATGTAAATCATTTCCAAGTACAGCTAGTGTCAAGTTACTTGCTAATTAAACTTAATATCCAGTTTATTTTTATCTGTAGGCATTCCTTTTGGATTTAAAATTAAATGAAGACAGCTTTAAAATTCAGAGTTTTTGAATAACTACGGGGCACAGTGGAAAAGTGGTGGGGTTATGTCAAACACTATCCTTGGATACCCAAGAGTGAGAATTTATGATTCTTGTCACCTGAGGGTAGCCAAAGAACCAAGGAGGGAAATCATAGACCAATTCCATGCAGCCAATTTGAGAAAACAGGAATTTCAAGGTTCACTGAAGGTATCTATCACCAAAGCATCTGGATTTCCCCTTGGAAAATGACATCCAGGTGTTACCTGTTAAGACCTCAAAGCAGAGAGATTGTATACAATCTTTGAGTTCCTAGAAGTTTATGATTATTCCCAAGAGTAAAAACCACCAGGTAAATCATGGTTTTCCCTTAGCTGAGAAACACCGGTAGCTGAACGTGTTTCAGGGCTGAACATGCAAACTATGAGCTGTGAAAGGAAAAATGTTCTTGTCTCAGGAAACTAAATTTATACATTTTTTTTGATATTTCCATATTTCTGCTAGAAAAATAGACTAAGTTAAGTCAGATCAATTACAAATTAATATGAAATATAGGAAAGAATGTATAAGAAAGAAAAGAATCTTATGTCATCACAGGTAGAAGAGAAATAAGAAGCAGCGTCAAATCAAAGTACATAGCAAAAATAAGTAGGGAGAATGCATTCAGATATTTTAACCTTCAAAATAATTATTAAAAAGTTAGTAAAGATACAGAACACAAGTTTGGAATCCAATATGTCATATGCATAAATTTATCAAATTCATTATATATATGGATATTACTTTAAACAAGTAATATGCATAGAAGAATAATTGAAATAAAAATAAGAACAGACAGGTTCTATATATGTATATATATGCATATACACACATATATATACATCCCTGTATATGTACAAATATATATTCATTCTGGAATTTAAAAAATAATAAAAATGCTATTCCTCATTTTTATAATTAAAAAATCAGGCAGAATTTGAAAGTGGATCACTCCCTTAGAAAATAAGGGCTGTGCTTTCTTTTTTTTTTTTTTTTTTTTTGGTTTTTCTATGGTACTGGGAACAGGGCTGTGCTTTCATAAACTATAATTATCAGTCCTTACTATAGATCTGGCATTGTTTAAACATTGTACTGACTGAAAAATTAAAAAATAAATCCAAATAGAAAGTCCTGAAATGTCAAGGAAAAGCATCCTTAGTTTCAAATATGATCTCATTTTGAAATATGAGTTCCTGATCTCACCAGAAACCAAGCTATCAGTCACAAATCAACTATTTGGGAATTACTATGTACACAACAAGAAGTATGTTGGGTAAAAATTGATGTGTTCATTATACCAAAAAGAAGCTACACTACAAATGTCATTTATTTAACAAATTCCACTTAGCTGCAAACAGAAGGGGGTGCTCTTAAACCAGGAGTATTGAAAACTGTGACTCCTTAACCCTAGACACAAAATGAAAAGACAATACAATTTTCATTTATACAAAGCTACTGTTTAAAAAAGTTCAGCTTATGAACAGTTTCCCTCCCTTCCCCACGCAAAAGGAAAGATGCATATAAGAAAATAATATATGAATACCAACTTTAATTCCAAACCAAATTACATGTTGCTTTTAAAAAAGCATTTCAGAATATTTACAACACACACACACACACACACACACACACACACACCACTTTAACTGGGAAATTCAAAATTTCACTACAAAAATTGACAGTGAAATATTAAAAATTAACTGAACTTAAGGAAAGAAATCAGTTGCTTGAATTAAATGAATTCAAGAAAATAATGAAATAAAAAAGAAAGATTAAATTATAATTTCCTAAGGGAACATATATTAAAGGTAAAAATATTAAGAAATTTTGAACAAAGTCAGGAAAATAACCAACTGAACAAAAATGAAATAAAGTAAAAGCAATCATGGAGGAAGTAGTTGAAGTAGAAGATAAAGAAGATGCATATCATTGGAATTTTTACAGAGGAAACTAAAACAATGGGACAGAAGAAATTCTTAAAAGTATAATTCTAAATTAACAATACTTGTTGTTTTACATATTGATATCTTCAAAGTGTTAATTTCCTACCACTTTATTTTTAATTCTGTATTGTCTGTACTGTTCTTTTGCTATTTTGTAAAAGGTTGTCTATCTGTTTATGTTTTCCTCCTTTTATTTTTAAGGTAAAAAAGTATAATTCTAGAAAACTTTTTTTCAAAATTGAAAGACATCAACTTATATATTGAAAAAAACCCATCAAGTTACTTGGAAATCCAACACTAAATAGGCAATTCCAATATATACCCTAGTAAAAATATTAGATGCTAAGATTTTAAAAACACTCCTCATAGTATGTGGGGAGGGGAGGGAGACCAAATAATATATGAGGACAACAG